AAAGGGATGAGATAAAGGGATATATATACTATGTTTAAGTAACTTTCCCAGAGATGGGTTGCGGCTGGAAGGGCATCTGCAGTGTAAAAATGTGCTGGATAAGTTGGTGGTTCATTCCTCTGTGGCGACCCGGGATTAATAAAGGGACTAAGCCGACAAGAAAATGAATGAATGAATGAATGAATAAATGAATGTTTATGTGACAAACACAAAGACAAAACTATAAGTATTTACGTTTTTTATTTAATTTGTTTCATATACATATATATTTGATATCTAAATTGCAAATATATGCATGCATGTGCGTATTTATAAATAATAAATATACACAGTGCACACACACACACACAAATATAACAGTATGTCAAAACAAACTTTTATTTTGGATGCAATTAATGACGTTTACTTTTTGCCCAACACTAATCATATTTCACTTAACAAATCCAATATTTAATAGTCAACATTATTTCATTGATCAAAAACAAATTCACTTCTCACCAAAATGCTCAAAAGTAATGCTGATTTCTGTTTAAATCCTGGTGATGACTTCTACTGAGCGAGCATTCGTGTTGAAGCAGTTCTATATTTAAGTCTGTATTTCTAAAAGAGGCGTTTGCTATTTCCAGTGCTTATGAATAATGAATTCCTCTGTCTTTGTACAGGGTGGCAGGATATGAGACGTGAGTCACTAATGTTGGATAATGACTCCCTCTCTCTCCTTCTCTCTGGAGGTCACAGTGTTCATGCTGCTCTTAATGAGGTAAGCAGGGTAAACTCTGATTAGCACTGTAACGGTTGAGTTCGTCACACAATGACATGAATATACAGTTGAAGACAAACTTAACCGACTCCAGTTAAACTTGAATACTTTTTCAAATTTAGAAAAGGAAAATAAAAAACAAATATACGCTACCTGACAAAAGTCTTGTCTTGGATCTCAGTTATAAGAGCAACACATAATAACTTGACTTCTAGTTGATTGTGTGTAAAAGTGTCAGAAGGTGGATTTCTCTGCTGGATCATCTGTTGATCTGCATCCCGATCATCACCAATACTGCAGAAGACCTACTGGAACCAGCATGGACCAAGATTCTGACAGAAATCAGTCAAGTTTGGTGAAGGAGAAATCATGGTTTGGGGTTCAGTCAGTATGGAGAGATCTGCAGAGTGGATGATCAACATCAACAGCCATTTGTGCTGCCCATTACATTACAAACCACAGGAGAGGGACAATTCTCCAGCAGGATAGCGCTCCTGCTCATACTTCAGCCTCCACATCAAAGCTCCTGAAGGTCAAGGTGCTCCAGGATTGGCCAACCCAGTCACCAGACATGAACATTATTGAGTTCAGATGAAGGAGAAGGCATTGAAGATGAACACAAAGACTCTTGATGAGCTCTGGGAGTCCTGTTGAACGCTTTCTTTGGCATTCCAGATGACTTTATTAATCAGTGATTTGAGTCATGTCAGAGATGTATGGATGCAGTCCTCCAAGCTCATGATGGAGTCAGACACAATATTCATTCTGTCTCCACTGCAGCAGGACTTTATCTTCTATACTGGACATTATTTCTGTTCAGTGATGAGACTTTAGTCTAAACAGAGTCAGACCTTACTGTCTTAATGAAATCATTAATAATCAAGGCATGATCATGTTATTGTGCTCAAATAAGCAAAATCTAGAGGCCTTTGCCTTTCATATAAGACACTTCTGATACCAAATCATCAACTAGAAGTCAGCTTATTATTTGGTCTTTCTAAAACTTAGATAAGCGACAAGACTTTTGTCAGGTAGTGTACAGCAACTGATTTAAACATATATATTGTTTTAGAGTTTTTCTGAATTTTTAAAAATGTATATTTACATCATAAATATAGATGTTATTAAAGCTCAGTTGAAAACAAAATTATTAACCCTCATTCATTAAATTTGAATACTTTTTCAAATATAGAAATGCAAATAAATATAAATATAGGTCGCATCACAGCAAGAAGGTTGCTGGTTTGAGTCCCGACTGGGTCAGTTGGCGTTTCTGTGTGGAGTTTGCATGTTCTCCCCGTGTTGGTGTGGGTTTTCTCCGGGTGCTCCGGTTTCCCCCCACAGTCCAAACACTTGCGCTAAAGGGGAATTGGGTTGGCTAAATTGTCCGTAGTGTATAAATGTGAATGAGTGTGTATGGGTGATTCCCATTCCTGGGTTACAGCTGGAAGTGCACGCGCTGAATATAAAACATATGATGGATAAGTTGGCGGTTCATTCCCTCTGTGGTGACCCCTAATGATTAAAGGGACTAAGCCAAAAAAAAATGAATGAATGTGCAAAAATTAATTATGATTAATTGCATCCAAAATAAAAGTTTTGACTTAAAATATATTTGAGAAAATATTTATTTAATTTAAGATACAATATATATATATATATATATATATATATATATATATATATATATATATATATATATATATATAATACAAATTATATTTACATTTAAATATCTATGCGACAACATTTTTTTGTATGATTTATTTGATGTACTTGTGTGCATCACATATACATAATAAATATATATAACCCCCACACAAACACACACGTCAAAACACTTTTATTTTGGATGCAATCAGTCTTTGCCCAGCACTAGACTTAAAACTTTCTCCAGAACAAAAAATATAATAGGAAATACTGTGCAAAATGTCCCTGTTAAACATCGCTTGAGAAAAAGATTTCACAGGAGGGTGAATAATGTTGTCTTCAAATATGCAGTGATCCATGCCTGGGTTGAGGATATAATCGTAAAACACACACAGAGGTAAAAATAGAGCGATATAAATAGAACACTACCATTGATGCAGCATCATCACCATGCAGATGTGCTGCTTTTCTGCTCATCTATTCTTTAATGGAGATGTATTTACAGTATTGCTGCATGGATCTACACTAGAGAGCTGCTGTAAACAAACCCAATGCTGGCTAGGAAGTCACAATGACATGTGCAATAAAACTGGAGCCTAAATTAAAGATTAAAAAGACTCTTTTAGACATTGTAGCTTAAATTAAAGATTAAAAGGGATAGAGCTTAAAAATGGAGGGTCTGATCTGTCTTTGATAATTGGAGAAAATGTAAATTATCTCTTTAAATTCATTCATTCATTTTCTTTTTCGGCTTAGTCCCTTTATTAATCAGGGGTCGCCACAGAGGAATGAACCGTCAACTTATCCAGCATATGTTTTACGCAGCGGATGCCCTTCCAGCTGCAACCCATACTGGGAAACATCTTTTTTAATAATTAAATATAAATTACTATTGCAAAACTGCAGCTTAAACAGACAAAAAAAATCTAAAATTTTGAGGGTCTTTCTCTGATAATTCAGGAAAATGTGAATATTTGCTTAAAATGTAAATAATTAAATATAAATAATTATTGCAACAATTTAATTAAATAATTAATAATTATAATTACTGCAACTTAAAAAGACTAAAAAACTCATAGATTTTAACTTTTCAGGGTCTGATCATTCTCTGATAATTTATTATGTGAATTATTTCTGTAATTATTAAATATTTTATGTAAATAATTATTGCAAAAATTAAATAGTTAATAATAATAATTACTGCGACTTGAAAAGAGTAAAAAATTCATAGATCTTAAAATTTGAGGGCCCGATCTTTCTCTGATAATTTAGGAAAATGGGAATTCTCTCTTTAAATATAAAAAAATGAAATATAAAATATTATTACAATCTACTATTAATTAAGGAAAATGTGAATATTTGCTTAAAATGTAAATAATTAGATACAAATATTTTTGCAATAATTACATAAAATTTAATAATTAATAATAATAATTACTGCAAATTAAAAAGACAAAAAACTCATAGATCTTAAATTTCAGGGTCTGATCATTCTCTGGTAATTCATTATAGTGTGAATTATCTCTTTAAATATAAATAAATAAATAAATATAAATAATTATTGCAACAATTAAATAATTAACAAAAATAATTACTGCAACGTAAAAAAAAAACTCACAGATCTTAAATTTCAGGGTCTGATCATTCCCTGGTAATTCATTTTAATTCATTCATTTTAATTCATTTTAATTCATTCAATTATCTCTTTAAATATAAATAAATAAATAAATAAATAAATAAATAAATAAATAAATAAATAAATAAATATAAATAATTATTGCAACAATTAAATAATTAACAAAAATAATTACTGCAACGTAAAAAAAAACAACTCACAGATCTTAATATTTAGGGTCTGAATTATCTCTGATAGTTTAGGAAAATGTGAATAATCTCTTTAAACAAAATAATTAAATATAAATAATTATTGCAACTATTAAATAATTAAATAAAATAATTAATAATAATAATTATGGCAACTTAAAACTTAAATTTTGATGGTCTGATCTATCTCTGATAGTTTAGGAAAATGTGAATTCACTCTTTAAATATAAATAATTACATATAAATTAGTATTAAAACAAAACTGCAACTTAAAAAGATCAAAAAATCTTGAATTTTGAGGGTCTTTCTGTGATAATTTTGGTAAACATCAATCATCTCTTTAAATATAAATAATTAAATATGAATAATTATTGCAACAATTAAATCATTAAATAATTAGACTTATCAAACTCGTCAATCTTGATCGTAGATCAATATAATAATTATTATAATAATTAATAATCAGTATAAACGGTGTAGATTATTTTAAATAATCTCTCTCTCTCTCTCTCTCTCTCTCTCTCTCTGTGATAATCCAAGCAAATATGGAAAATTCCTTTTTTTAATTTCAATTCAATTCAGTTCAAGAGAGCTACATGAGCATCAATTGTCAAGTATAGCCAAAGCATTGCAGATTACATAAACAATAAATCAAATGATAATAAAATCTCCCTCTGTTTCTCCCTCTCTCTCTCTCTCCACCATCAGCTGTAGGTCACATGACTCTCTCTGCTGGCTCTACTGAGCATGCTCAGTCCAGTGTGTTGTCAGGCAAAAAAGGGCAGCAGCAGTGGCAGCAGATCTGCATCAGATAAACACAGAGGATTTCTGCTCGCTCACGGCCTCTCGCTGCGTGTGTGTGCTTGCATGTAAGTGTGTGTGTGTGTATGTGTGTATGTCTTCAGCGGCCTCCGGTGTTTCTCCATCCTCCTGAAGGTGAGCTGGATGTCCGTGTGTGTCGGTATGTTGATTCTGGGTGTGTTTGCGGGGGGATTCAGGCAGATTACAGTCAGTGTGATGGTTTAGTCGGAGAGATCGGCTATAATGCATTCATTCAATCAGGAGATCAGAACAACAGCACGCTCCGGCTGGAAATATTAGGACATTCTTATGCTTTCAAAGCTCCTTTGTTTTGGATTTTGGTCCATATTGAGCAAAAGATGACGTAAATCTCTTTTAGACGCAGGCGTTTGTGTGCATCTTCATGACAAAAGCATTCACACTAGTGTCTTGAGGATGTTGATTGCATTTATTTGTATGCATTTTTGTTGCCAAAATAATTTCTTTGTGTATTGGTAGATTAGTATTTGCATGATATTTTAAAAAGACAATATTATGTCAAATATTTTAAATGCATCTTATTTTTCTATTAAATACATTAAGTAGTCTGTTAGTGTTGTGAAAATGATTTCTTCATGTATTAGTATATTAAAATTGGTCAATTATTAGCATCAGATATTTAAAATAATGTCAAATATTTAAAATGAAGGTATTTGTGTGCATAATATTTAATAAAAAAGGATTTATTTATGTATTAGCACATTGAAATTGCTAGATTAGTGTTTGAATCAGATATTAAAAATGAAGTAATATGTAAAATATTTAAAATAAAGGTATTTTAAATGCATCTTATTTACTCATTTATTTATTCATAAAAAGCATTAGATAGTCTATTAGTATCTTAGAATGAGGATGTCGATATTTATTTAAAGAGCAATTGCATTTATTAGTATGCATTTTTGTTGCATAAACAGATTAGGTGGATTAGGATTTGAATCAGATATTAATATTACAGTATTATGTCAAATATTTAAAATGCAGGTATTTTAAATTCATCTCATTTTTAATAGTCTATTAGTATCTTAGATTGATTTCTTCATGCATTAGTATATTAAAATTGCTCAATTATTAGCATCAGATATTTAAAATAATGTCAAATATTAAAAATGAAGGTATTTGTGTGCATAATATTTAATAAAAAAGGATTTATTTATGTATTAGCACATTGAAATTGCTAGATTAGTGTTTGAATCAGATATTAAAAATGAAGTAATATGTAAAATATTTAAAATAAAGGTATTTTAAATGCATCTTATTTACTCATTTATTTATTCATAAAAAGCATTAGATAGTCTATTAGTATCTTAGAATGATTTCTTCATGCATTAGTATATTAAAATTGGTCAATTATTAGCATCAGATATTTAAAATAATGTCAAATATTTAAAATGCGGGCATTTGTGTGCATAATGTTTAATTTAAAAAGCATATGAATGGTCTATTAGTATCTTAGAATAAGGATGTTGCTATTTCCATCAAAAGCAATCACAATTATTGCATGATTTTTTTTGTTGTGATACAGGATTTCTTAATGTAGGACATTAAATTGGTTGATTAGTATTTGCATCAGATATTAAAAATGCAGAATTATGTCAAATATTTAAATGCAGGTATTTTAAATGGATCTTATTTTTTATTCATAAAATACATTAAGTTTTTTATTAGTATCTTAGAATGA